GCACTCACTTGTGAGCAATTGTTCCCGATAGTGTTAAGTCCAAAATTAAATTTCGAAAAAGCAGCGTGTATTTAAATCTGAGAAGAATGTTGTCGTGTTTGACTCCAATTCTGAAAGCAACATCTCGCTGTGTTCATTTCCCCTTTTTTTATTTGGAAATAGCCGACGCACCTTTTTTTCAAATGCATGTTCATTTAGTGAGGATCGCTCATAGTTGACTAGGACAAATGCTGTCTATTTCTGGCTTTGAACCGATGACATCATTGACAGGCACCATTTCATTCATCGCAGCAGTTATGACGCACAAACAAACCGGAAAGTGATGACATTGCACTTTTTTTTAACCGAGGTCAAAATAACGTACCATTTACATTAACAGTGTGTGTTCGAGGGGGAGCGAATTTTTTTCTCGAGTGGGAGAAAGTGCATCGAGTCGAAGGTCGTTTTATCTGTAGAAGAGCGCAGTGGCACATTAAGCCGCTCTTTCGTCTAAATACCAGCCAAAAAACAACATGAAAATGTTATAGAGTCTCTTCATTTCATTTCGAACCAAGAGATATTTGTGTCAATATATTGATGTATAACATGGGGGGGGGGCGTTTGTCAGCTGCAGAGTGGTTATTGGCATCGAATTTTTTGGGCTGAAAAGCCTTGGACGTAATGTAAAACGCGTTATTCTGCATACCCACCCTTCAAACTCCTTTGAACTGACCACGAAGCAAGCTAGAAGGAGTACTCGCACCATGTAAACTCATTGAGTAATTATGTAGTCTTAATCTCTAGACTTGTGAGATCGAGATTCCAAAATCATACTGAACCAATTGTAAATCGGTTAAGACTGGAATCGGGAAATCTCGGAACGAGAACATATTCGTTTAAATTAGATTAATCATAATAGATTTGAATCAAACATTTTAAGGTGCATTTACTGGTATACATCTCACTGCAAAAGGCCACGGTCACTAAGTATCCTTCTCTTGTTAGAGCAAAAACCTTCAATTCAAAATGCGGCCAAATCATTGATTTCAAACTGAATGCGAATTTTTATCCGGTTCTTGAGAGTTTCCTTCGATTTTTTTTATTCATCTTGCATGCTTCTGTCTTCTCTGTACTCCATAAGCAACCTTTACTTTTTATGCGGGTAGATATCAGAGAGACTTCACTTTGAGGCTCTATCTAGGCTATCAAAGGTTTGACTGAAATCCCATACACTTCTCTCAACCGGCTCCAAAAAATGAAGTCAGACATTTGTCGCACCACGTTAGCCACGTCATTTGACCTTTATAAATCTCAGCGTATACATCTGCCTGCCACTTGAAAAAATAGGCCAAACTGTACAATAAATTTCCAGAAGGTTTTCTATAGCATAGGATTGATTCATATGTGCTGCGAGCCAGGCATTATAGGCAGTTTACCGAAATTATAGCTACTGTTCAAACATGAAAATTTGTTTCTTTGTCCGATAAAATCACACTTTTGCCCCCCATCGCAAGAACACGATATACCTTTGATTGCACTTACTACAGTGTCCAGTAATCAAGCACTGAAGTATTTACTGACTCGTACATCCGCATTTTGTAGCAACCTCGAGAGTAAAGTAGCGCGATGCCACCCTCATCGAAATCTCTTGACAAAATAAAAACTCTTTGAATGCGAAGCTGAGTAGTGTAAAAGAATTATAGTCAACTTTCAGTACAACCTGTCCAACATACACTCAGGCCATCATTAGCATAGTGCCGCATGAAGCTGGAAAAATGAAACAAATGGGATCGCTTTGAGAATCGAGAAGTCTGGTTTTGTCCCAAGAAGGGTTTCCAAAGGCCTCAGTTAGATCTGAAGGAGAGTATTACTATTTCACCACTGAATGTTGATGACGGATGAGACTAAACAACTTTTCCCACTTTTTCTTCAGTTTGAGCACTTATTCTTGATGTAGACATTGAAATACTACCCCAATTTCACGCGTACAAGACGCATTTTTTCGGTTTTTTTGAGCGTGCCGTTCAGCCGCCTTGTTGTGTTCCGAAAAGAAGACAATCACCCGTGTCCTATATGCGTGAAATCAGCGTAATAAAAACTTGAAGTGGACAGCGAAACCGGACCTTGAATTTTAGCTAAGGCCAGATCTCAAAATCTCTCTCTCATCTTTCACTGTCTACTACACATATTACCCTCTCCATTTCTACCTCAGGACAAAATCTCAGACCATTAACAGGGGTACAGGGGCAAGAGTTACGAAGGGGCGAGACGAAACAGAGAACTGATTTTTTCGTTTGCTACCTTGTATCTGAAGGAACCTTTCCTTCATATTAATTGAGTAAGCTTAGAGAAAATTTGCTGATTATTGGACAACCTTCGATGGCATGGTTGTAGCATTGCATTTGACACATTTGCAGACCTTGTGAGCTCTGCATAATTGCAAAAAGTGCGCAATCCTTTGACGCAGCGTGCGATCAGAATCGGCTTATTTGAGATATTTCAAATAGTTCCTCCTCAACTAAAGCAATTCACTAAGTCCGCTTAGAAAAGGCGGCTCTTGAAGTCTCAGTCGACCGCTTCTCTAACACTTTTCTGCCTCCCATGAGTTTACAGGTTTCGCTTGCCATTCATGTGGCAACTGCAAGCCGTATGTCTGCGGTAGATTTCTTCACGTCGCAAGCAATGTCAAGCTTATCAAAACAGGATTTTCGAAACGGAGTTTCTGGTGTTTTCACCTTGATTCAAGGTTGCTAGGGTCACAAAAAGGCTTGTTGACAGCCTAAAAGTAAAAACTGCCCTCCGGACGATTAAAGGCAGCGCTCCGACAGATTGAAGGCTGACCGATTCTTGTAACAGTGTGACAATTGACCCTCCAACCAAGTGATAACAGAAGTTCACAGCTGAAAAGGAGGTCTGTGAAGCCTAAAAGTTATCCCCAAAGTGGCGCGGGTCTTACAGTCGGTTCGGACTCCACTCGAGGCGATGCGCTGCAACGTCATGACTCGCCCAATGCAACCCAGCTTTCAAAAAAATCCTTGTCATTTCAAAGCGCTGCAAACCTTATATATGGAATCAGTTCCGAGAAAGCCGCAAAAGCAAGCAAAAATTGAGATATTGCCGCGACTCTGCCTGTAACCCATGATTACTTCGTTCAAAAGAATGCATTTGAACTTAGGCGTTTGAAACACGTATATTTTTTGTCATCCTGATTGCTGAATCTCAATCTCACAAGTCCAGAGATTAAGGCTACAGAATTTCCCAATGAGTTTATGGTGCACGTACTCCTTCTAGCTTGTTTCATGATCAGTTCGAAGGAGTTTGAAGGGTGGGTATATAGAATAAAGGGCCGGGCATACCTCACGCGATCTCAGTCGCGACGCGATTTGGCAATATTCCAACTGTCTATAACTCACTGTAAGCACATTTTGAAAGTACAGAAGATAGGGCATTTTATCAATCCACGTACGTTATACACACTATGCATGTGCAGTTTGCTAGTGTTGGATTTGAAGACTTCTGGCGAACTGCTAAATCGCGTCGCGACTGAAATCGCGTGACCCGGCCCTTAACGCGTTTTACATTACGTTCAAGGGCTTTTCATCCCAAAAAAATTCGCTGCTAATAACATTCTGCAGCTGACGAACAATCCCCCCCCCCATGTTCTACATCTATATATTGACACAAATATCTCTTGGTTCGAAATGAAATGAAGAGATTCTATAACATTTTCATGCTGTTCGGGTGGTATTTAGGCAAAGAGCGGCTCAGTGTGTCACTGCGCTCTTCTACAGATACAACGACTTTCGACTCCATGCACTTTCTCCCACTCGAGAATAAAATCGCTCTCCCTCGAACACACATTGTTAATAAATCGTTCGTTATTTTGAGCTCGGTTTAAAAAAAGTAAGTGCAATGTCATCACTTTCCTGTTTGTGTGTGCGTCATAACTGCTGCGATGAATGAAAGGCTGCCTGTTTTCAATGATGACATCGGTTCAAAGCCAGAAATAGACAACATTTGTCCTAGTTAACTACGAGCGATCTTTACTAAATAAACATACATCTGAAAAAAAGGTGCGTCGGCTATTTCCAAATAAAAAAAGGGAACTGAACACAGATGTTGCTTCTAGATTCGGAGTAGGCGTCGACGACAACATTTTTCCCAGATTTCAATACACGCTGCTTTTTCCAAACTTAATTTTGGACTTAACTATATCGAAACGATTGTTCACAAGGAGTGCTGTGCATGCAGCTTAGGGAGGCAAACTAGTTTATTTCAAACACTAAACACTTTAGGTGGAGGAGGAGGCGGATGCCTTTTATAACGAGACAAAAACTCTAAAACTGCTTGAAAAGTACTAGTAGAGTTCCAGTAATTCTAAATCGTTTTCGCGACTATGAATGTTTATTGTTCATTGTTGTACACAAAAGTGCGCCAAAAAATCAAACAACAATCAAAAAATTTGCAAAGGTCTTCCAAAAAATCATACAAAATAATCCTAGATTGTCAAAAAAGATCATAGTCTTCTTGAATGTTTCTAATGTCTGTGCTTGACTATTCTTTGAGTTTCCTTAGGTTTTTCTGATTGTGTTCGTGGTCTGCACTAGAGTTTACAATGTCGAATATCCAAAGATTTATCAAGCAACTGAAAACAGCAGACGGTTGCATGCGTTTCGGTTTGCGGACTTTTGTAAAAAAAAAGCTTTTGAGATTGTGTCTGAACGCTTTATCCAAGCAATCGCGCTGTCTACTCCGCTTTCTCCATTTCTGCCGGAGTTCTTGAATTTTGAGAAAATTATACTAAGGGCACCTTGGAGCTCATAATCAGTTCAGCCAGAGGCACATTCTCATAGATCAACGCCTTTTGGTATGGTAGCAGCGGAGTACACAGCGGGAATTCAATCCTTTCATATTTTTGCTTACGACCCCACGTGCACTGAGTAAGCTTCATAAATTAGAAGATGCTTCTCTCCAGGCAGATCCGGCGCCTTCTGAATTGGACTGAGCACATGCTTGGAAAAGCTTTATTTGTCTGTTTTATATACACATCATCAAAAATATCATTATTTTTGTCCGTCACATACGCATGTGCCACCGTGGCATTCTCCGTTTCCCCATCCCTGTAATAGCTCGGTATGAGGTACATTCAAGTATAATTAGAGAGCAACTTCTTTCATATTTTAGCGCAGTGTGCAAACTACAAGATTGTTATAATAAAATCTTTGTATTTATATTAGGTTGAACCGAAAGTTCTGTCCCTCCATCTTCAAAAAATCATAACTTCTTTCCGTCACGATGATTTCGCGCATTTCAAATTTTATTAGAAAGAGTAAAGCATGTAGTTTCCAAAAGTCCCCTGGAGACTTTCCAACATGCTCAGGTTGCAGAGATAAAAATGAAAGAACGATATCATCCGAAATTCGGAATTTTTAAGCAAAAATTCTAACAATTCAGAAACTGTGCGATAAAATCCAGAACAGCCATTATCCTAAGTTTTCTTATATTTTATCACTAACTGAGTTAAGTTTGTGCTGATCGAGCTCTTTTTTCAAAAGTTATGATTTTTTTTAAAAAAATGCCGAAAAATCGATTTCTTAAGAATTCCTAGGAAAGTGATTTTTCGGCATTTTTTAAAAAAAAATCATAACTTTTGAAAAAAGAGCACGATCAGCACAAACTTAACTCAGTTAGTGATAAAATATAAGAAAACTTAGGATAATGGCTTTTCTGGATTTTATCGCATTGATTCTGAATTTCTAGAATTCTTGCTTAAAAATTTCAAATTTCGGATAATCTCGTTCTTTCATATTTATCTCTGCCATGTGAGCATGTCGGAAACTCTCCAGGGAGCTTTTGGAAACTACACGCTTTACGCTTTCAGACAAAATTTGAAATGCGCAAAATCGTCGTGACTGAAAGAAGTTATGATTTTTTGAAAATGGAGGGACAGAACTTTCGGTTCAACCTAATAGAAGGAGTGGTGATAAATACAATAGTACAAACAAGCATTGATAATTTTTTCAAATACTGTCAGCGAGTTATAGCAGATTCCGCTACTATTAGGATCAGGCGACAACTCGAAGGCATTTGATTTTGCGCGAAACGGAAGATAAAATTACCATTGATTTTACTAATACCGCTATTTATGCATACAAACTTATATTTACCGTTGTTAACTTGTATCTCACAAAATTTTGCTTTCTTGTTCGCAGTTGCTCTAGGATAAATAATCTCAGTGTTCACAAAAATAATAGGCGATAGCTTTGTAGCAGGTAGACTTCAAAATCAATATACATTTTGGGAGGTACAAAAAAACTTCGCATAACTGCTGGTGCTTACAGTACAGATTTAGCTCTGCTTTAGCCAGCTTTTATAAAAGCGAATAACAAAACTCAATGAAATAAATCATTTCTAGCGCGTGAATATCTATACCTATAAATATACCATCTAACCATATGGCTCATTCTGTGAAATGCTTCTGGCCAAACCAAGAATGATTTGGTTGCATATACATTGCAACTGGTGCTCAAGAGAGAATTAGTGAAATTGAGATCGTGAAAAACGCGTTTGTTTAACAAGGAAATTGCCCAAAACCACCGTGAACTATTGACATGAAGATTAAATAAAAATACTCCTCTTGAAATGCTGATTTCAAATCCATGTTAGATCTTTAAAGCGATTTTGAAGGAAATTATGGACTTTTTCGATGATAAAATTGCACTGTTGCGGAGTATCAGAATGGACAATGATAATTTTTTTTTGCTTTATTTTTTTGAAATCAGATTATCTAATCCGATTACATGGCTGATTATCATGACTTATAATAAGCGGCTTGATCTGAAGTTGTGTGGAGTTTGTCCGTTACGAAATTATAGTGAGAAATGATTTACGATACTAAACATCATGTGAGGTTAAGGTAGCGAGTATGGTTCATTTTTAACTACGGCTCACGTTGCAATAAATCGAACTATGATTCGAGAGCTCTCAGAAAGTGAGTTTAGTTCACGATGCCAGTGCGAACCTCTGCGAAGCAGAGGTGAAGCACTGGTCTGATATCTTGTTCTAAAGCACTAAGCAGGCAAAATGACAAACAGGGCTGATTTTCTTTATTTGTTACCACACAAATTTCGTTAGGAGAGGCGTTCATAACTTCCAAAAATTGCTTTGCAGATAAAATAGATTTACAATCAGCGTTTCAAGAAAAGTAGTTCCATATAAACCGCATGTGGACAGGCTGCGGTAACCTCGGGTCCTTCCCTTTCAATTGTGAGGTGCAACTTGTACCAAAGATATCAGGTAGGTGATTGAATAGAGTAACTTCGTTCCAGCGACGAAGATTGTTAGCATTGTCAATTAACTGTCAACTGCTGGACTTTATTAAAGAAGATCCAATTTGAGAAAGTGCTTGTCCGAAAACTTTAGATACGCACGTTTATATTTTCAAGAGTTCTAGAAGTCGTGTTTTGAAAGCTTGAGAGTATCCTCTTCTTCTGGAAGTAAGAAATTTCTAGTAACAGCCGAGCCTAAGTGAGGCTACACATTACCGCTCTGTTTGGACGCAGTAAGAGGCCAGATCCACCAATCATTTTAAATTTCTGCTTACGGTAGTGCCCAGTGAGTGCAAAGAATAAACACAATGAGCCTTCATACATGAGCAAGAATCTTGAGCGATTCTTGGAGTCTGACTTCCTACTGTGATTAAGCGGGCACTTTTGTATACCGGAAGATGCGCCGCGTCGAGCTGAGTGAATGGTGCCCTTGGATAAAGAATTTATCCACTATGAAGCGAGATATGGTCACGATGCGGTGATGTCACACGAATTGGGCAACTTTGCGTCGTTTTTTCCAATAATTACGAACGGTATTGTAGAACGCCTTTCAAATCGCTGATCAATAAGCCATAAAGGAAAACGAAATAATTATTTTGACAGTTTGATAATAAGTTTGTGCACCTGTACGAATGTAAACTATGTAAAGTAATGAAAGTAAAAATTACATGTCCACTGCAATGAGCGCTGCAGAGATGCCCGCCTATGAATGGGACTTGACACGTAAGAGCATTAATGCCAGCCATCGCACAAAGCAGCACGACGAAGAGAAGCAGAAACTTTTCCAGTTTCATTTTGTGCAGGATATACGCTGAAAACAATAAGTTCACGTCCTATATACCGAAAAATACTCAGAACACTCATATGGGATTCTTAAAATCCAAGGACGAATAATGGAAGTAAGAATAAGCAATCACACGATACATAAAAGCACAAATGTTCTGCGCAACACCACGGAAAACGGGACAAGGTCCAGCACGAGAAGGGCAAACGTCAGGCAATCGTTGTGAGTGAAAAAAGTAAGGGGGATATCGTTTTTGCGGGGTCTTACTTGAGTTTTACATGGGCGCTCTCCTATGTATAGTCAGGTTTCACCAGCAAATTTTGCAAGAGTAAAGCCGACTGTTGGAAGATGTGATACATTTCTTTGCTAATTTACTTTCTTAAATGAAACTTTCAAGCTCCGATACTCATTGTCAGAAAAAAGGCGTTCTTATTTGAAGCTATCCTTTCAGGCATCAAAGAGGCAACAATACCGAAATTGCAGAGTAGTTGGTAAATTCGAAAACACCTAAATAACTAGGTTTCACATGCTTAAAACTTGGAAAAAAAGTTTTCAGAAACCTTTGCTCAGTTGTTAGCCCTACATGACTGTACGCAGGTGTTAAAATGCTATGCAAACAAGAGAACTACTAGCTATCAGCTATTTATTACGCGTTTGGGGGTCACTTTATAATTTATCAAAGCAAAAAGGCAAGGTGGAACTCATTTTCTTCATTAGCAAGGATCTTTGAATCTTTGATTGTAAAAACGAGTATGAATCTGATATATTTTGGGTGGAGGTTACTTTGATAATTGAAATGAGAACTATGTCTGATTCTTTTGCGGACGTTCTCAGATTTTATAGGTGCTCATAATTAGTTTTCTCTTGGAAAAAGCAGGACAGAAAACTATCCGACTCACGTCATCTGCGCTCATTTGATCACTTGACATTTGAGAGACTGTTTAAAATCATTAAAACCTACGAATGAATCATCTACCAAGTGAAAAAATGCAATGCAATAGAATGAATCAGAAAACCGGTTGTCCAGCGAAACTCTACAGCTTTCTCTCGTTTTCCCAAAACACCGTAAGACAGATCTATTTCGAGAAGTAAAACAAAATGTCCTTGCAAAGCTAATGTTCTCCAGAGATGAAAGGTGGAGCATTGCAGACACTTGTAATATACTTACTGAATCTTCATTTTCCTGCATAGCTTCTGCATGTGTGGTCATCGTGAAGTTTGTAGGCAGAGTAAGGTGTAAGATTGGGCGCAAGTCATCTGAAAACGACTCCAGCTTCCTTGCACACATACCTAGACGTCCCTCCTTCCGTATCCTCTCCTTCACAATTTCATAGTGTCTCACTCTAGAGAGAAAAAGAATAAGGAGAATCAACCTAAACTGAGGAGACTTCAATGTTTGGAGCGTATAAGCTTGATTTTCTGCGTGCACACGGCATAACAAATAACATAATTGACGGTAAGTTTGTATGTGGTTTGTCAATAGCCCTATTGCTCCGAAAAGGGGAATCTGAAAAACTAAACTGCTGTGTAGACAGTTTTTATGCTTACTATGTGCTACAAAAATGGAGCAAATCGCGCAGTTTGAAGGTGAGTGAAATAAGTCAGGCACAAGGCAACAAAAGCTCAAGCAGTCTGACCTTTTGAGGGGAAATTGTTGACCTCGTTAATTTTACCTTCATTTTTCACGCAATCTAAACGTCATTCATTAGCCCAAATCTTCTGAATTTTACAGTGAATATAAACACTATGAATTGTACTGGCTTTAATGTGGTCGAAGAAGCAAAGCACTCAGGGTAGAAAACTCCGTAGTCTAGATTTTGGAAGCACTTCTGCCCCTATTATAGAAACGATATGAAACAAAACCTCAAACATAGCTTAACAGAGATAACAGAGGTGATTTTTTCGTCACAAGTGTAACAGAGACTATAATCTTCAAACCATGCTGATCGTGCAAAAAAATTAACGCTTTCATATGTTAGGAATTCCGGGAACTTGTAGCAGGTAATTTCTTAGACCTCATATAATTGGATGTGCTGTTTACGGAAATTACATTACAGGTGAGGTGAGGCCTCTTTGGTAGCTTACGGTAGGTGTACCTAAAGAGCGAAAGCTTTAGAATTAGCTGAAACCTCGGCAGTCGAATTTTTGGCAATGCTGTACACAACATTGTTTTAACTAAACAGTGAACTTATTATTTGGTGAATGTAAAATTTGCAAATCTAATCCTGTTACCTGCCCAGTCGTAGTATTTCCTCATTTTTAGGCGATTTGGTATTTGGCTACTAACTCCCTCTCGTTCACATCCCAATACAGCCCCTCAGGTGGAGCACTTTTGACCCCACGCTTGAATTTTGTTTATAGCTACAACTGAAATCTTCAATAAGTGCGCTTGCACTGTCGAGAAAAGGAGTAAAAATTTACGCGTGAACGAATGGTCACTCCAGTAATGCATTATGCGCGCGCAAGAGCGCCGGCCCAAGAGTTCACAAGGCCTCGCCGCCTTTCCTTGTGGGGTTACTTATCACACTCTACTCGCCCTCGCACTTTTTTATAGGCTCCGCCCATTGCCCCTCTTAGTGGCTAATCTCATTACGGGTGGTGCGGGCTTGGAGGATAGTTCTCAAGTCTAAATGAATAAGGAAGGATGGAAAATGACAGACAAGGAAGAAGCCTGCCATTTGAGACATGTTATCTTTGCAACATAAAGAGAAATATTGCTGTGCGATCTTTTGAGCGTGAGGCGTTACTTTGGGCATCGCTTTGTCGTAATGAGGAAACTTCCGTCTTCTCAATTTTTAGCCGAGATAAGGTGCATGAGGTTTAATTGAAGGTATCTATTAAGCAAGTTGCAGGTGTTCCATATTTTTTCTGATAGAGTCCCCACTTTTTTCGATTTTTCAGTCAGTTGGGTTTTCTAGTTTTTGGTTGAGACTTCGTGTAGTTCAAATTTTGTGCAAATCGACGAATCAATCAAACCTTGTAGAGCTTGCTTTGCTCAATCGAATACAGAATAATAGAACCTGTACGGTATATGTAAAATATGAGCTATCGCAGTTTTGACCTGTTTTGGAGCAAGGCTTATTGCAACCGAAAAATTATTCTTAACCAATTTTTTATAGAATTTGAATAAGTGCTCAAAAGTGAAAGTTGTGAGTTGTGTCACTTTATGTTCGGTGTCCATGATAATCCACTGAAATTCTGTGGATACTGTTGGAATGGCAAAACGACTACCCTGCCTACTAACTTATTAGAATGATGCAAAAATTCTCATGTAAATCAGAAAAAAATTCGAAACTACTTACTGAAATCTAAACCTAAATTCATTGCTGTTTAAGAAGAAGTGAGTTTTGCGCTTCAAATTAATTATCCAAATTCAGCTTCTTGTTGGTTATCCTCACAGAAACAAGCTCCCAGAGATTGCACTTTAAATTTGGTAAAATCAAGTATGGTTGTAAATGGTATCAAAAAGTGCTGATACTTATCCTCAAGAAGTCTCTGGGACGTTCATAGCAATGCTCCGCACTTTGAAGCGACAAGCTTCAATCTATGGTAATGCATAGACAATAACTGTGAAAAATAATCCATTGCAGAGAAAATTACCTTCTTTCTACCAAAAATATCACTCAGTGCTTACTTTGAATACTGCAAGTTTTTTGGGAATGTGAATGTCTTTGCTTATGACATGCAATAATATAAGGATTTGCTTTGCAAGGACGATTTTTTTAAACGAATTCTCGCATTTGCATGTCTATTTTCCGAAGCCCGCAGGTTTCTAATGTGACTAGCACAGGAGGTGGATAGATGGGCGGGGCTCGACCTCTACGGGACCGAAGGTGCGAAGACCCTTCTGCAGGGTGAATGCTGGTGCGAATGGAGGTACTAGAAACTCCTGCGTCCCCTCCTTATCTGCCAAGCGTGGGGTGGAGAGACGGTCAAGAGGCGCGATTTTTACGGCTGTCACCAACTCAGAACTCCAGTTTGGTGCTGTGCGAGTCTTTAAAAAGTACCAGATAAAATGCATTGGCTTACTACCTGTTTGTGGTTACCAGCTGCTGGGTTTGATGACTTTTGCTGAAAAATGGACCGAAATATTTACGAATTTGTTCTAAACTGCATTTTCATGGGTTTTTGACCTTCAATTGCTGTTTTCAATTGATTCCAAGTTAGCAAGATTGAGCAACTCATGCAACTACCTGATATATCTTCTTCTGAAGTTTAAATACTATCAGAAGGTTACAAAACACTTATTATGTGCTATTTGGTGTCCATCTGGCAATAAAAATCGCTTCTCTTGACATACACCCGCGTGGGGTGTGGCATGTACCTGAATTCGTATTAGGGGGTCAGGGAGGGGGGGGGGGGGCGGGAGCGGGGGATATTTTATCGAGGTGATTCGTTTTGGCGATAACGCGATATTTGTTAACAGTGTCAGAAGGCACAGCATGCAAAATACAGTGCTGGCCAAAACTATAGATCCACTATGAAAACTGCCTTAGCTCATCCCCTTCTTAACGAAATGATCAAAAATTTGGTACAGCTGTGTGTTTGACAGGCTACCATCAGCGGCTAGAACGAATTTCGTTTTTGTCTGATTATTCAGGAAAAAAAATCGAAAATTCCGAAAAAAGCAGGTTTGAAGGTTGGCCATATAGATCCACCTAAAATTCTGTCCATCAAAGTTATTCTCAGCTTCCAAAGCCTTTTGTGCTTATATATAGCTCGAAAGTCAAGGCAGTCGCTTTAGTCCAGCTATATCTTACCTTTATAAGAAACGCTTATCTGCTTTTTTCGCTTAAAAATACTTTCATGCGTATTTTTTTCCCGGGAATATGTTTTTATAGAGGACTCCGCACTTTTTTGACTGGTTTGGAAGCGATAGGGTTCCATCTATCTTATAGACGCTCAGCGAAATGAGCATTAGAAAAAATTTGAGTTTTCGTATTTGAAGCGTACTCCACATAGACCTAACAACAAGCATGCGCTCGAAATTTTGCATACAAAATTGATGTACGCTTTTTTGTAAGCTCGAAATAACGTAGAAGCCA